GAAAGGCCTGCCTGAAGAACCAAGTCTTCAGCTTATTCTTAAATAATTCCAGGGAGAGTGCCAGGCGAATCTCAGGAGGTGAGGAGCCATCGCCGAGAAGGCCCAGTTTCTAGTTCTCTCCTTCTGAGCCTCTCTCAGGGTCAAGCCCCTCGGTCGTCCAGCCTGGCTAGATTGAGTGACATGAGTAGAACTAGGTGGGAGCAGGTGCTCTGCCAGTTATCAGGATCCTAAACCATTTAGGGCTAACAGTTTATGCAAAAAATATAACTTGCCGGCCTTCAAAAACCTATGGGAACATCAGATAGAGAAGGTGTCAGAAAATGGTGAAGTCAAGATCTTGTGGGATTTCCAGATCCAAACGTAACATAACACACCAAACATACTAGTAGTAGAATGAAGAAATGTCCGACTCATTAGCATTGCAAATCCAAGGGATGCCAGAGTTGAAAATAAAGAATTGTAAAAACTAACAAAGTAGTTATGTGTAGCAATCAAAACAACTCGCGTCTGAAAGAAACACACTTCAGTTATTAGGGCTTTGTGAACAATATCAAGAAATTTCACATAGTACCATAAGCAGTTGCAGATCTCAGAAATCACACCATGAGAGCTGCAAAAAGTGGAAATATTAGGAACAGCATACATACTGCCTTCATATTTAACAGATTCTTAGGTTTTTGGTTAAAACTTGTATCTGTTATATAATACCAATCAATGTTTTTATAATTTCGACTGCCACCACCACCACCACCACCACCACCACCACTACTACTACTACTACTACTAGTAGTAGTAGTAGCAGCAGCAGCAGCAGCAGTAGTAGTAGTAGTAGTGTACCATAAGTTAGTTAGTTCTGACTTACGGTGATCGTTTCCCTCCCAGGTTTTCTAGGTAGCAAGTACTCATAAATGGCTTCTTTTCTTATGAAGACATCCTGGGGCTGTGCAACATGCCCAAGGCCACACAAACTAGCTCTTCTGGGATGCACAGTGTGGAACTGAACTCCCAGCCTCTGGCTCTGGAGTCAGAAACCTAACTCACTGAGGTGGGGTGGGGAAATAGAAAATATTTAATTAGAGATAAAAGACTACAGCTGATGTCATCAGGCTTTATGTGTGCAGGGTTATACAACTGGATTTCAGACATTGTACATACAATGGCTGAAATCCTGTTGTATAACCCTGCACATGTAAAGGCTGATGACATCATCAGCTATGGACTTTCACCTGTAATTCCATATTTCCTACCTCCTTCCTATTTCACCCCTTTCAACCTGGTGAAATCTTTGGGAGCCTCAGGATTGGGAAGGGAGCCTTTATTGTCTGAAAACCACCACTACCAGTCTCCTGATTATAGCATATTTTTCAAGATAGGAAAATAGATAGGATGCTACAGTGAATAGTGTGGATGTTGGTGGGTTTGAATGTGCTGATCCCATTGTCTGCTGGGTGGAAATGTGGGGTTTCTTTGACTAGGGGGCCATGGACTCTGGCCTTAAGGTCCTATCAGATCTAGACCTAGCCAAAACCCATTTCGCTATGTCCATAAACTTATCCTTGCTTTTGGTCTTTCCAGAAGCATGTGGTTGGCTGTTTGGAAAACAGGAGACTAGATTAGATGAACTGCCAGAATCTGGAAAATAAGCATAACCTAAAGCATCATTCTAGATAGGGATAATTTCAGAGTGCCACAGTCCTTCTTAAAAGTAAGATTTACTTTTGATATCAACACAGCCCCCACAAATGCTGACTCCCAAGTGCTGGAACTCTTTCCCCACTAAAGTGCATATTACACATATTGGATGTATTCCAACAAGTTTTAAAACCTCATTTTCCATATTTTATCTCTACGGTTTTAAAGAAAATATTAAAAGATTAAAAAGATCCTTATAAGTTTAGCTTCTGCTAAGCAGAAAGCCCCTCCAGTGTGGTAATGCATGATTACAACTGCTCACTGCTTGCAGTGAGATCTGTGAAGAATACGTACTGTATTCATTTGTGCTACTGGTAACATTTGTACAAGCACTGCAATCCAGCATTGAATTAAAATCAGACTTTCGACTTCAGCAGAAGCTTAATAGGTTACAGATCATAGCGCATATATTTATTTAAACATTTACAGCCTGTCCTGTATCACAGACACTCAGGGCCAGTTACAAAGCTGTATAAAGCAATTTTAAAACATAATATACTTAATAGTATTTAAAATAAAACAGTGAACATTTAAAACGTTCAAACATTAAAAATGGTAAAGCCATTCCAGTGAAACCTATGCAGATCACGATACTCAATCCCTAAAGCCTCAAATAAATAAGTATGTCTTGACATGGTGTTGAAATGATGTCAATGTCAGCCCCAAATGGGATTCCAAGGGGACAGCATTGTACAGTTATGGTGCTAGGGTGAGAAAATTCATCCTCATAATGAACAGTTCTCAATGGTGATACACAGGGGAGGGCCTCCCCAGCAAATCTTAGCGATTGGGCAGGTTTATATAGGAAAAAGGGCTTTATAAGCCAATTGTAGTTTGTTTATTAGATTTATAGTTTTGTCTATTTTAATCTGTTTGCGATTTATAATGCTGATCTATTTTGATTCTGTTTAACTTCTATGCATCTTTTTCTTTTCTTTTTGTGAGTCCCTTTGTAAGCAGCATACCCTGAAAAGTGGCCTATAAATGCTCAAATTGAAGAGACTCGTGTATCTATTCTAGGTACCCAGATGTTCACTGACAGCAACTTGCTTCCTTATGCCTTCTATTCATACCAACTTGAGACCAGCAACGTCCATGGATCTACAAGAAGTGCAACCTTGACATATAGGACACAGCCTGGGATACCTGTAGGAAACTTGCATTTAAACCCAATTCTTCCTGTTGGGACGCGCTCAGCTTCATTCAACTGGACAGCTCTATCAAATGACTCGGGTCCTATAGAGAAATATGTTCTGACCTGCAGGTCTCCACTTGATCTTAAACCTTGTGGCCATTATGAAGGCGGGGAAACATCAACAACTGTTTGGAATTTGCTTCCATTTACAAAATATAGTTTTGATGTTCAAGCATGCACCATTGCGGGTTGTTTGCTCAGTGAAGAGGTGTCAGTAGTGACAGAGCAGGCCCCACCTGAAGAGCAGGAACCGCCAGTCATACAAAGTGTCAGCGCTACTGAATTAGCTGTAAAATGGACCCCTCCCAAGAAACCAAATGGTACGATTTTATATCCACTATATATCCACTATATATCCACTATACTAATTAAAATCCGCAGTAGGGATCTGGGCATTTTTTTTATCTTTGGTATGCTACCACCATATTTTTCTCATCAAATGAAATGTTTTGTGGCAATTATCTTGCATCCCTCTGTTGTTGCTGTCATTACCGGGTATTGTCTATCACCTACCAGCACCACTCTGTATGTAGAGGGAGACTTGAGCTTAGAAAAGTTTTTTATTTTTAAAGTGATGACTCCTAGAATCCCACAGCTAATGTCCAGGAGAAGATCAGCATAGGGTTTGTTAACAGCCTTATTTTGTTCTAATTCCACTCCTTGGCCTTTGCAACACCTTATGACAGTGGGTAAAAAATGTTGGCCAGAGTCCTACTGTTGATTAATGCTTGTGTAAGGGAAATTGCTTAGATCTTGGCAGCCAATTGTTTCTCATTAACAAAACGCTTGTTGTGTTACGTGGGGCATGTGCCCAGGTACACAACAAGCACCTTGTTAATGAGTGGCAATTTGCCACTAAGTCTTAAATGATGTCCCTTATGCAAGCATACATTGACAGTAGGGATCTGGGCATTTTTTTTATAATTTAGCAAGCTGTGACTTTTAGTGATGACATATGCAACTAATTCTTCCTCTTTTCTCTGTGATTTAGCACTAGACTCTGCCCATTTAGCACAGCAAGGCTCTCAAAAAAGCTACCAGACCCATAATCCTTTGAAGCTCTCATGAAGCTTCACCCTACCCATTTCCCTTGTCTTCTCAACAGCATGAAATGGCTGCCAGAATCTGAATTCAATAGCAGTAGGAGCATGAAAACACCTTTCATGATTTTGATTGCTTTATTAGAGCCTCTAGTAGTCTAGCTAGAGGAATTCCTGCAGACTCCTGGGGGCTATATTCAAGAATTAAAGAAATCCCCTGTCTGTTCAGCACCTCGTTTCTGCTTTTGAGTATAAGAACCACATGGACCAAACTCTTGGGCAATATGAGATGTTTATATACCCTTCATTGAAGGCAGTGGCCATTGCTTTCCTGTGTGGGTGGTCAATGACCATCTGTGGAAAGAGAGCTCAATTGAGCTATAAGGAGATCTAATATGTGCACAGCTGCATTTTAGAAAGAAAGGTAATGTGTTTTATTATTGTTTTATCACTTGTAATTTTTATAAACTTGTATTTATATGGTAGCAGCTGTGGACATATACTAGTATCTAAAGTAGTACCTCATTACGATAGTTGTAATATTTCTGTGTACATTGTATACCGAGCATGATATGCAGTATATACAATATATATATATATTGTAGTATGATAAACACTGACCAAAGTCCTCTTATGCAAGTTATACCAGTATAAGGGAACTTGTGTAATATGCAGCAGCCAATTACCTCTGACTGAAGAGTCCATATTTAACTTCCTTATTCGCGAAGGCTTTCACGGCCGGGATCTAATGGTTGTTGTGGGTTTTTCAGGCTCTTTAGCCGTGTTCTGAACACGGCCAAAGAGCCCGAAAAACCCACAACAACCATAACTTCCTTATTGTTTAGATGTGTTATTGCATATGAATTAGGTAGCTTTATGCAAACTGGAGACCCAAATTAGTGGCACTCAGCCACTGCCAGCCATGTCGTTTCCTTAGACCAGCATAGCTTATGTACAGTAAGAGGATTTTGGCCACTGCATACCAAATGGTGTAGTAGTAGTATCTGAATAATATTAGTATCTAAGTAAGATTTAAGTGTCTTTAGATCGATATTTTCCTCTGGTAAAACAGCAACTGTTAATTTCCAGGTGTAATTATTAGGTACGAACTGTACATGAGAGGTGCCCTTCAGTCAGATGGAAGTCATGTCCCCCCTGAGAGTCGTGTTTTCCAGACCAGTGGCTGGTTTAGTCCTCATCCAGTATTAGAATCTGCCAATGAAAATGCTCTGACACCACCACTGACCAGCATCAAGGTCACTGATTTGAAGCCGTTCACAGAATATCACTTTCGTGTTTTATCGGTCAATATGGCTGGGAGCACATTTTCAAGTTGGACATCACAGAGAACAGCAGAGGCAGGTAATTGAACATTTTGGTACATTCACTCTAAGAATTTAAATACATATATCCACATATATCCGCTTTCAAAACTCACTGCTTGACACTGCTTCTTTCTGATTGCTCTAAAATTCAGGTATCACATTAATCTGTCATGTATCGTCTGCTATTCTGTCTATAGTGGCCAAAATTCTTGTTGCTTAGTGCGGTGAGTTGCACTGGAGTAGGCCCATAGAATCGACGGAGATTTAGTGATTCAATCCTTTCAGAAATTCCATTGACTCCAATGGGCTTACTGTAACTGCAACTTACTCTATGCTAAAGTAGATTTACAGTTAGAGTAGGCTCATTTCAATCAATGGACTATATGGAGAATTTGACTGGCGAAACCCCCATTGATTCATGGGCCTAATCTAGAGCAATTTACTATGCTTTTACTATACCTTTCGGACAAGGTATATAATTTATTTGAATCACTAATAATTTCATATGGACTACTGACGGCTGCACTTTAGTTATTTGGAGGAGTCTTGTAGAGTGTGTTAAAGAGCCAAATCCCCATTGATTCATGGGCCTAATCTAGTGCAATTTACTATGCTTTTACTATACCTTTTGGACAAGGTATATAATTTATTTGAATCACTAATAATTTCATATGGACTACTGACGGCTGCACTTTAGTTATTTGGAGGAGTCTTGTAGAGTGTGTTAAAGCCATACTAGTACTAGTATGTCTGATTTCCCCCTCCCCATGTTTTCTGTTTCTATCAAAATGTTCATGTCCTATATTAGCTTCACAGTGACAATCTTGCCATGAAAGGCTACTAATGAATGTTGGAATGACATTTTATGGAAGATGTGTAAATGTTCCTACTAAAAACTAGTCCCAAATTTTTTAACTCTCACTTGTTAGTGTAAGTAAATTCTATAGTAGAGTTCTGCTCAGAGTGATGGTGGAAAGGAGTATGAATAGTTTTGTTCTTATTCCTTTCTGTCCCCGGCTCACAGCACCATCTCATTCACTGACCAAGAGGGCCCGCCATTCCCTTGGGGCAGTTCCATTTGTTTGGTGTACATGGATGAGTTTTTTGCAATTTTGTCACAGCTTTATTGGGGTGGTTGTGGGCATGAGGATGGATCCCAGCGGAATAAGGAGGAAACTACAAATGGGCCCCTCCTCAGGTGGAGCCCCCTTTTAGAGGATGGAGTGAAGTCCTGGTACCCACTTTCTCCTCCCTGGACTGAGGGATCTTCACAGAGGTGTACTGCCATGTAGTTAAGTCCAATTCTGTTAGCTGGATTATCATCAGCCAGCAGGTGGATGAGCTGATGGGTGATCCAGTCTCTGTGCTAGTGCCAGGACTATTTGGCCAGTTTACTTCCCATTAAAGTTAAATCTATGTGATTTCTTGTAATTCTCCCTCGTCTCCCTTGACGAACAGGAGCCATTATGCAGCTGACCAAATGCAGTTCAGGTATGAAGACCTCACAAAGCAATATTATATTTTTGTAGTAATGGCTGCATGATTATGGCTGTCACTGAGGGACAAGCATGTTCCACAACATGTAGGCCTTGTTTTTAGCTGAAACATCTAAATGAGATGCAACATGAGTCAGTCCCATGTTTAGTTCTTTTATAAACATTGGACTGTATTCTTAGCTCTTGTATGTGATTGATGCCCAGATTCAGTCAAATACATCCAATTAAGAAAGTTCATGAGCACAATTGCTTTCAGTATTTGCCATATTGAAATATTTGGTATTTCTTACATGATCTATATCACTTTTCCAACAATGTCTCTTTGCCTAATTATTTTTACCTGTTCATCAGATAAGAAATCTTCCACATTATTGTGTAAGAGTGTTTTATAGTTTGTTCTATGAACTAACAGAATGTAAATTACTGAACTCTTCAGCTGCGTTTAGATGTACTTAGAGGTAAATCTCATTGATTTCCTTCCTTTTTAACAAATTGATTAAAAAGACCAGAACAGTAGTCTCATTTAAGTTGAATCTAAACCATATTTCAACTGGATATAAACTCCATTGATTCCCCCAAAACAGAACTTAGATATTAATAAATGGCTTAAAGCCAAATATATCCTCTTCATTCATTTGTGGATTGAGTTGTTAACATTAATGAAGACAGATTTGTAGTAGTGTTTTCCAAAATACATTCATGTTATGTTGCCTACCTAGGATTTTAAAATCGAGATTTATTCCAGTAAGACATCTCTGATTTATCATCTATTTTAATGCAAGAGAGACATATTAATTTCAAACCTGTTCAGCAATTAAATTTCCTTTGACGATGTTTAAGTGTTCAACAATCTTTCTTCTAATCAGGTTTTCCCAGGTCACAGGAAATCTGTGCTTTAAAAATCCATCTACTTCACTAAAATGTGAAGCATACATTGTCTTTCAGATTTAAGTGGTAGTTAATGCACCATAAAAATCATAGTTCCCATACTTTACCTATAGGCGGGATGCATTTAGTTTAAAACCACACTATTGGAAACCATATGAAAATTCCTTTTAGACCAGAAAATTAATTTCTACAAGCTGCTTGTTTAGGAATTGGATGCAAAAAGCCATTTTATCAAGTTTAACAGATGGTATTTTATAAATATAGTGGGAAAACTTGCCCGACACATGTTGTTCATTTATTTTATGATAAATTAGCACATTTATTTGTGTTTTAGCTCCTGTGTTCATGCCACCTCCATCAGTATTCCCTCTTTCGCCATATTCTCTCAATGTATCTTGGGAAAAACCACAAGATAATGAAGCAAGAGGAGAAGTAATCGGGTACAGCGTGAATGAAATTACTGAACAAAAAGAGTTGCCAGTATTTTCTCAGGTATTATTGTTATCAGCAATCTGTTTTCTCTGCTTATTGAAATATTGATACTATAAAGTGGTCCCAATGTCCTTGGTAATGCCAAATTCTAATTTCCTAGTGGAGAAACACTTGCAGCTGTCAAAATATGGGTTATGTAGAAGGTCAAAGTCATTACTAGAGCAGATTGCCCAAAGTGGAGCTATCTGTTTGTTTGCCTCTGTATGAGAAGACATGACTTATTCTGGCCAATGGTACTGAAAACCAGAGGAACCAATAGGGGCATGGTCTCTGTCTGTTTCATGATGTAGACTGCCTAACATGGTTACAAAGTTCAAGTTCTAAATTCAGAATGAAATAGATCTAGACAATCACTTTCCTCCAGTGATATTCTGGGCTCAGAGATGGAGGCTGAGATGATTGATTAGCCTTGATCCAACCCTGAAGCCAGGCCGGTCTGACGTCCTGGATCTGGCAAGGTGTGACATAATCTCTGAATTTGAGGCTTGCTGCCCTCAATTTTGGTACTTCCTGAGCATGGCTCCAACATTGGTATGGCCTGCTCTTCTCCAGTGTGCCTAGCAGGAGTAAAAACTTTCTGGCCAGGAATTTGTCCTGCAAGACATCCTATATCATGGAACCTGGACAAATTAGTCTTGGACAAGCAATGTAAAAGGGCTTCAGTTCATCTCCAGCTATTCCCGCATGGGGGCGGCGGAGGGGAGGTGGCTCACTGGGATCTATCCTTGGTGCTGAAGCTTCTGGCTGCCTTGCTGCTTCAATGGCTCTAAGAATTTGCCTCAAGATGACATTGAAGAACCTCTGGATCTTCTCTCTTCCCCTTTTCAAATTCCACTGAAGTAATTTTAAGTTAAACTACTTTAGGGAAAATTGTTTTCCTAGTGCTGTGCACACTGCTAATATATAATATAATAGTGTTTAAAGAAAGCACGTCTTCACTTTGACCTCTCTCCATAGTGATCAGACGGCTGGATTTCATGATGGAACATGACACCACTATCATTTATAATACACACTATTTGTAGAAATAAGTCTGCTATCATATAGCTTTATGGGGCCATAACTTTGTTTCCCATTTACCTACTCAGGAACTGGATTATTACCTCATAAAATAGCATGGTGCACGTCTTATAATTTAAATTTCAGCTTGTTGAGGTTCCTCAAAATAATCTTATTTCTTGTAATGGTTCTTGGAAAACACCTAAAGGAAAAAAAGAATCTGAAATCCTGAAGGCTAATTTACTGTCACTAAAGAAACCATCACATTGAAGGGAAATAATGAAAGCACCATCAGAATACACTTTTTAATCATTTTAATTTGCTTTGTAGGTTTTGTATATCGCTGAAGCTCATGAGCAGTCCTATGTAGTGATGGGATTGAAACCATACAGAATGTATTACTTTACCATTACTCTCTGCAATCGAATCGGTTGTATCAGCAGTGCGTCAGGAATGGGAAAAACTTTAGCTGCAGGTAAGGAGACACACTTCATCCAAGCAAAGTTATCACGTACCTTTCTAATGAGCACCATTACAGATGATCACAGGTTGATGCAAAGTGACTGAGATAGGTGTTATGTTAATATAAAGTGACTAGCTTAATTGGTGTTTGTTTACCATGACAGATTAAAAACAAAACACCATGTTTTCCACATAGGCTTGAAGTATTTTTGAAAGCGTTTATGGTTTTATTTTTCAATGAGGCCACCTCTGCTATATTTCCTTGTTTTTTTTCTACAGGTAGCATGCATAATCTAAATTAAATTAATGCTAACATTTCATTAGTAGTGCCTATTGTATCCATAGCTTTTTCAGAATACAAATGTACATGTACTTCTTCTAAGTTCTCCTGTGCTGTAACACAGAAGTATAAAAATTCCCGTTCATTACCAATCATCATGTAGTACCCAGGGGAAAGAAAAACTAGCAATATATGGTTGTTTTTTCATAACAGATAACTGTGGCAGTAATAATAGGTGCAGTTTACTAGCCCAATATGTATATGTTTTAATGCCACACACACAACTGTATGGCATTAAAACATTACTTTCACATTCAACACATTTGCTATGAAAAAATAAATGTTCACACAAGTTTTTCCTCTCTCAGTTATAATGTAGGAACCTTCATTATAACATGTCAGAAATGCTGGAACGGTTCCTTTCAAAAAGTTTTTAGTTGTGGTTATGTTTCCAAGCTGCTCAATAGTCAAATAGAGTTGTTATAGTTGTTTGCAACTAGGGCCTTTTAAATGTTGCTCTCTTTTTTTCAAAGAAAGAGAGAGACAAAGAAGCTGAAGTGATTTGTACCACAATTGAATTTTCAAATTCAATTTGCCTCCCCCTGGAACTGCAGCTCGCCCTTCTGTTTTGATTCAGACCTTGTACAAATTGGTCTGAACTAGGTTGCTTTGATTTGGAAAGTGGGATTTCTGTGAATCTGGCATACAGTCCTATTTTCCTCATTTCTTAACAGTGAGATTTCTGTGAAGAGCAGCCCACACAGCAGCCTGCTTTGGCTTACAATTCTCATGATTTGCATTTATCTATCTATATTTTATCAGTATGGTTTTTAAGGATAAAAATGCTTTATGGGCATGGTACCCATGGGAACCTAGAGCCTTTACCAAGCAGCATGTTTCATTGATTTTGGTAGCATTACTCATCTGAAAAGGAACCTCACATCACAAACTCACACTATACCCCTTGGCAATTCACACTGATTTAAATGGTGCTTGTGTACATATTGGTTAAACAGTAGTTGCTGCCATAAGTCAATCTTCATCCTAGCGATCTCTTTCATATTTAGGAGCAAGCATATTCAAATTAAATAAGAGCTAGTTGTAAGTAGAAGTGTATAGAATGGCACTGTTTGTAACTGGCTGGATTTCTGCAGGCAAGCAGATTGGATTTTGGAACAAATTTATCCAAATTTCTGGATCAACAGGAATTGGAATCTGAATTCAAATCAGAGACTTAGCTTTCTGAAGTAATGTAATAGCAGAGCTTGGGTTTTACAAAACTACATCTCCCAGAGTTCCCCAGTCAGCAGTCTGAGGATGGTTGATCACTTAGTGCATCGCCCTGTATTGAAATCATTCCTCAATAACACCTTGGTTATGATTGCCCACTTCCTAGTTTTTATACTTTCATATTAATTGCACTAAAAAAACCCCAAGAGATGACGAAACTGAAAAATCAGTAAATTTAGACATGATAAATGTTCAGGTTTTTGTTTTAAATCGTTTTCAGATTTCAAAAGTCCCCATTTTAATGCCAGGAGCCCACATCCTCTTATTTACAATTAATGGTTGAAATCCTGTTGCACAGCTCTATAAGCAGCCTCGTGGCGCAGTGGTTAAAAACGCTGTACTGCAGCTAAAACTGTGCTCACGACCTGGGGTTCAAATCCCAGGTAGCCGGCTCAAGGTTGACTCAGCCTTCCATCCTTCCGAGGTCGGTAAAATGAGTACCCAGCTTGCTGGGGGGGCAATGTGTAGCCTGTATAATTAAAAAATTGTAAACCGCCCGGAGAGTGCTTGTAGTGCTATGGGGCGGTATATAAGTCCAATAAATAAATAAATTAAATAATAAGCACAATTGTAATGATATCATAGGCAGCAGCAAATCACCACTGACTAAAGGCTTTCTTTGGTAATTTTCACACACACAAAACTTTGTTGTATTCTGTGTGAATCACCTGCATCCCCAAATCACCTTTAATTGGCAGACATGCAGACACAAATAAAGTTGAAAAACAAATTATTTTTCAGCCCTTAAAAAAACTGACTTGATAATTAATCTCTTTCCTGATGCTTATCATCTACAGCAATGAGCAACAACCTAATGTGAAACAAATTTAGGATAAACATACATAGAACTGCTAGTTCAGTATTGGTAGACCCCAAAAGAAAGGGTAGATTGAGAGAGATAGAGAGGTCCCCCCAAAAAAATTGGGATAAGATTGTCTCTGAACAGAAAAAAACCCACATTGAACTGCCAGGAAGACCCCAAGCATTTTCTTAAGGGATATGTATTTAAAAAATGGGATTAACTGCCCTCTTCTATCCTAGAAAGGAGAAGTTGGGGATAATTAGACCCACAATTCAGTGCTCCACTACATAATCAGAAACTGTGTACTCCAAAGAGACTTTTAGAGAAAGAAGCTTTTAATTCATTCATCAGATCTTTCGGCTAGAGTTTCAGAGCAAAACTTGTAGACAGTTGAAGGATTGCTACCCATATAGCCAGAGCATAGTGATTTCATATCTCCATGCACTTGTTTGGTTACCAGTAGTTCCCTAGCATTATACAAGTCCATTTCGTATTTGCAATATCTGTCTGAACTCTCCATTTTGAAGTAAAATTATCCATCTGTATTCATCTACTTTTCTAGTGCAAGTATTTGAGGAAAAACATACTTTTATACCTTCTGGGACGGTGTTTAAAGCAAACACATAAAAAGAAGAATCATGAAGATCTGTGTAATTGTTTTCTATGGGGAATCATGAGATATCACCGTTAAAATCAGCGAATGAGGCTCATGCAAATACTCAAATCGATTCTGCTGCCAATGGTGAACAGCTGGTGGCTGAGAGAAGATAACCATTTGGTTATTGTCTTTTGCTCATGTGTCAAAGCGAAAGTGAATATTTAGACATTCAGGGGGCATGACAGGCCCATCTGTGTAGGTGTTGCCGTGCAAAACCTGCACAAACAGAAGGACTGTCAGGAGGGCCAAGCTGGCACCAGGAAAGGTACTTGTGCAATGTGTGAGGACTTCCCATCCCTTCTTGCTTTGCCTTGATATAAAGATTTGTTTCATAGGTTCAGCATATGCAGATTTTTCAATAGATGCCATTTTAAGTGTAAACAAGATCACTGGATATTTATCCATGCCTCATCTACTTTGCTGTTTAAATATATACATGTAAATATCAAGTCTGCATTTAAATAGCTAAATTCTCCCTAATGTCTAACAGCACGGGCAGCCCTCATGTATTTCTCTGATGCTGAATTTGAGCAATAGCTTTCAGTGGCTGCACGGCTGTCAGTGAAAGCTATGCTGCTAGTACTCACTGGTAATTAATAGATGGTTTAAAAACATTTAAAGTGCATTAGGTTTTCCAATGGGAATATACATGCTTGTAGCATCGTTTTGGAGGGTGGGAATGATTTCCAGATACAATCCCATAACAGCTTAATTTACCTATATAAAGTAGATTTATACTATGTGAATCTGAGGTATGCAGCAATACTGATTATGTAGTCCTATCAATACAATCTTAAATTAACCAACTGTTTGGTTATCTGTGGTGGCTCTAAAAGTGTTGCCAATGGCCTTGATTCAGTTAAAGTTGGTTTACATGGGGAACAGAGAAGTTATATGACAAAATCGGTACTGCTTTTAATGACATTTCATCATGACTAAATTTAAGTGGATTGGGACCACTTCTTTCTGGAAGTGCAGTCCATTTGAGATTTTTTTGATAATCTACCTAGCAAATCAAAATAAAAAAATAGTAGGGGAGCACAATTCCGTACAAGCCAAAGGGTGGGTTTTTTGGGTGGTGGTGGTGGTGTCTTAACTGTCAAACTAGATATTAAAAGTATTGTGTATCAGCCATGATTAACTCATCTTCCTTCATGCAATTGTCCCAAGGACGCATGGTTTAGCAAACAAATCTGCGTATTAAACTTCTGCTTACTTTCTACAGCTCATTTACAAATACAACATGTATTAAGCACATGATATCTAGGTGACGAGGATCACATACCAACAAGAGCAGTTTGCTCATTTCTTGGGAAAGAAAAACTTAAATAAATCAAGGTGGCTTCCAATGTGGTGGTGGTGGTTTTAACCAAAATAAATGACAGCATTAGAACAGTCATGGGAGGGGGGGAACCCAAAATCTTCATGGTGATCAAAACACTTGTGAAATAACAATAGGTAAAGGTTCCCCTTGACATTTTAAGTCCAGTTGTGTCCGACTTTAGAGGGCAGCGCTCATCCTGCTTTTCAAGCCATAGAGCCAGCACCTGTCCGAAGACAGTTTTCCGTTGTCACATGGCCAGCGTGACAACAATAAGTGTACATTAATTACAGAGCAAAATTTTGAACAAACCAAAAGGTGAGCTGAGCAAAGGAGAACAGATATGAGAAGCTATCCTAGAGTTTGGGTGTCACCCTTACTCAAATATCCTTTTCTTCCAATCAGATATAGGCTGAAATCCAGTTAGTGCTACCTAAATGCTGATAACACAGGAAATGCCCCAGGAAAGCTTTTGAGAACCTTAGGAGACTATTTTTTTTTTGGGGGGGGTGAGTCTTGAAATCAGAGGGCCAATGCCAGATTATCACTAGTTCCCTATGGATCAATTGGGGGGGGAGGGGGTTAGTAAATTTTAAATTAATTTTAAATAAAGATTAATGTTACCAGGTGATGAAATCATCATCATTTATACTGCTTCATTG